TTGTGTTGTTGGCTCGCGCCGAGCACAATTATTAACATGTAACAATATAACGTGACCGCCGCTGCAACGATTTCCACCGGCCGGTCCGGCCGTCGTGGCGTCGTCGTCGGGAGCGCGGTCGCTTTCACACGATAAGACACTGCCGGGTGTATAAATACATAACGGCGCGAATTTCGCAACGGTCTCCGGGCACGAAAATAACGGCGGCGTACGGCCCGGGGAGAAGTATTTATTATTATATGATGTTTCATAACGGAAACCGCGGTACACGGCGGTGACGTCGACGGCGAGACGACCGGGTCCGCGGCCCGGGGTGCCCGGGAGAAGAGGTTTGGTCCGGTTAGAAGAACCCGGCGCCTGTGTACTGTGTTCACTGCGCACAAGGGATATCCACACTAGAGTTTTGGACGGGTTGTACGTGTTCGATCGTTGGTCAACGTGCCCGGCACAAACATCGTTGCCACTCGGCGCGCTCGCTGTTTTCCAGTGACAATTTTACGGCGCGAACCATGCGAAACGTCGCGGTTCTCTACCAACCGAATATCTGTCATCACAACGGGGGAAAAGAATCCTCTTTAAAACCCCCGGAAAGCTCGCCAAGTGCTCTTTTTTCGGATTCACTACAAAATCGCCGAATTCGTCATTGCGAAAACATAGGTTACAATAAAACGAAGAAGGCTACATCTAGAAAAACTGACGTGTTTGGACAAATTACAGACACCAGTAATATCACTCCTACTACTCTTCGACGCTCTGTTGATGCGGAATTCAAACAATCCGGGAACGTTTTGATCACTTCCGAGGCAAGAAAAACTAAAATGTTAAAACAATAGTTAAACAGAACTGTATTTCATACAAAAAGGTTTCCTCTAGTTTTTGTTTAATAATAGGGAATAACGTATTGACAACAAACTAATTGAGTTTCGGACAAAATCTTTGATGCTAAGTATTTGCACGGGAAATAAACATTTTGATTTTCGACATCTCGAAGTCGGAATGATAAAACTCCAATTATTTCTTTCGGAGACTTACGCTTGAATTTTGAATTACTTCCGTTGCTTACGTGGGTGCACCGTTTAATAGTTGCCACAGCGTCCGCGGATGACCCAGTACCGCTATCAGAATCGTTTTCTGTTTGAAATTGTTTGCAACTATATCGCGTTGGATAATTCGAAAGAACACGATATTATAACGACACGTCACCTCAATTATAATAATTTAAACTAACATTTCACTTCGTGTCACACATAATTTATTATTATATAAAATGTATAATCGTATGCATACAGGTATATACGAACGAAACCTTATAAACAAACTACAATATCGTGTGCTATAATAATAATAATTCGATCGCGTATTGTATTTCTGTTGGGGACACACGGAGGTCAAAATACGCGCTGCACACGTAGCGTGCAAGTTTAACGAGTCCCGTAAGCACTGCGGCAAATTATCTCGACTAAAACTATAATGAAGTGCACTCCAGACAGGTCGAGAGAGAGAGAGAGAGAGAGAGAGAGAGAGATAGAGAGAGACACGAAGGGTAATTATATATATATATATATATATAGATAATACGGACAAAGTATATTTGAAAATAATTAAGGGATCACGTTTTCGATAATTTCGTTATGTGTGTGCAACCGTACAACAATGATAATAATAATATTATTATTATTTTGTTAAGCATCGTCGTCGCTGTCGGCGATTTGTACGACGAGTATTTGGTCGACTTTTTTTTAATATTACTATTGTCCTTGACGCGATGAACCGGGTTAGTATATATGTGTAAGTCGTATATCACGAATTCACGTCGCCGACCACAGCGTTGTTTTTCGGTTCGTTCAAGTTTTCTATAATCGAAAATCGATACGCGGGAAAATTGTTTGCGAGACACTGAAGCGGATGGCGTTGTGCAATTATAATTGTTATCATATCGTGCAAATGAAATCGTCAAAACAAGTACTCGATAATATAATATTGACTATCTAGGTATATATAGATGACACGACCGCCAAGTGATTTTAACGCGGGTTCACGCTGTGAACGGATTGCCGAATGTCGATATTATTTTTACAATAACAATGTTTTGTATTTTTAGCCAAGCGGAGAATGTATTTTAGTATGACTACCTATATAGTATATAATATTATGATAATGTGTGTTTTTGTTTTAAACAATATTTCGACTAAAAATCCGATTTTTGGTAGAAAAATTTGGCTTTTGTTGAAGCGATGATTTTTGATTTTCCCGACATTTCGTTAATAATAGAATCCCTTGGAAAAAACTGGAATATTTGCGCAGTACGGTCAGTGACTTAATTTCATTTTTCAAAATTAACATTTTCGTCATCTAATACTTATAAATTAGCTCTTTATAGATGTATTATATTTTTTCGAACTATTTTGGCGTTTTTAAGTTATAAATAACTATTTGAAATTGATGACATTTTTAGAATTTTTTGTTTTTATGTGGATAAACATTTCCAATTACTCGAAAAAAACTTGACAATTTAACACAATAAATACGTTATACAAAACGTACGTTTCCTCGTACATTATGTACAAATATCGAAAAACTGTGTAGTTAGGATTTTTTTTTTTAAATGTGCTTAAAGTTCAAATGTATAGTGAATAAGATACGGACATACTTTGCACGATGGGTGGGTCACTGTTGTAGGTGAAAAGTTGGGAAGGTAGGATATAAAGGGATATTAAATATATATTTGTAGTATAGAAGAGTCAGGAGATGACATCGGAAAGGAAAAACAACTGACAATAAAAAGCACAACGGAATGACGGTTTTTAGTAAAATTCGGATAAAAGGACATAATATTTCATCTTAGAGTAATTTATTGACAATTATCGTTATCGTTTTCAATGATTTAAAAATAATTAAAAATAAAACTGTTGTCCGTAATCGTGCTGACGGAGAGAAATATTACCGCCTACGTCCGTTATAAAAAGAGTCCATTAAAACCGTTTGAAATACATAATATACGTTGAAACATCTATCCTTTTATGCCGGAATCTTATTATTTTATCCGTTAGAGTGGTTTTTGTAGTTTTTAAACAGTTGTCCATTAAGTTAGATTGTTTTTACTTTTATTTATATTGTGTGACCATTGTGTGATATTGGTGGTGAGTAAAGCTGTGTTATTAAAACCAGTTCTGGGATTTTTAAAAGCAACGAATGCGCCGAGGTAGACATTTTCCAAATATACTATAGGATAAACGCGATCCTATAACATAATATGATCGTTATTGATTTATCGAATTACAAAAGAAAACCGTCTCGTCGTATGAGCCTTCACCGCGAACTCCTGTTGAAGATATACGCGCATTTTATGAATCTCGCGAACAAATATAGGTTAGGTTCATTCTGTTCTGTTGTTGTTGATGTCGAATAGGTACGTTTTGAATTGTAAAAAATAATAATAATAATATTGTTGCTCGCCTGGGCCTGCGTAAATGTGTATGTATACACCGGTATAATAATATTATACTTTTTGATAACGTGTGAACATCCAATCTAACGTGACGGTGCACATCATCGCCGACGGAATATTATTTTATTATATTGTGCGTGTACGATTTCAAATTACGGACGCATTATTTCCTATAATGAGAATATGTTTTCCGGGTAGACGACTACACCGAAGCGGTACACATACAATAATATTATTATATTATCCGAGTACGGTGTACCTAATGAATTAAACAAAATTGCCGGGTCACCGGGCGAGGAAACAAAAGAGGACTGCGCACGGGTACCGTCAAGATGCGCCGTAAAATTGAGTAATTATTACCTATCATCGTCGTCGTCGTGATATTGTGATGGGTACACCGTGCGAAAAAACAAAATCCCTCTTGATGTATTTCGCGGATCAACGAAAGTTTCAGGTGAATTGACGTACCGTCGAAAACCGTGTGAAAAAACCCGGGTCCTGGTGTTGAAATGAAATACGTACGAACTATATATATATGTAGTATGTTATAAGTATTTACTATTGCGAGTTAAACCAAAAAGTCTTTGGAGTCAAGAAAAATCGATTTATATAAAAGTAAAAACGAGGAAAAGCATTTACACTCTTCAAGCGGTGTTAATTTTCCGGATTTTTGTAGATTTATTTATTTTTTGAAATTAAAGAAACTCTAAGAAGTAATTACGGATAAGACAGTGGGCACGTGGAATATGAAGATGAAGTACTAAGAACTAAGAACTTTTACGTGCCCGGGGTGAAGAGACGAAGAAGAAAAACCGTTTGCGGTATATTAAATAACGACGGCTAACAGCGAATAAGACGTATCTACCCGCCACTTTGGGCCTATCCGCTTTAGCAACAGAATCATATTAATGAAACCAATATACGTCGGGTGAACCAACTATGGTGGATCTTGTTACAACCATTGTTTGGTTATTTAAATTTTTCTTTCAGCTATATTTACCATTTTCAACCTAACCTGACCGAATGCGCCATCAATATGGACGTATAAGTCATGTACAATAGAGATATCCGCCAAATTGGCGTACACGTCCATTTACGTAGGCAGTACTATTATCACGTTTCCATTACACAATTCTTGTACGGTTGTAATAGTTGTATAAATAATAATAATAATAATAGTAATACCCGTTACCGACCGGCAACAAATGGAAAAGTTTTCCAAATATTGTAAATTAAAATTTAAAATTTTCAAGTAATCCGTTTAGAAAAAATGTTTCAATAAAGACATTATACAAATTGTGTAACGAAACTATTTTATTACTGAAACTAGGTATTATTTTTACGTTTATAGGTGTGACTATTATAATATGTCGCGGCCGTAAAGACTTATCGATGGTAAATTGCTCGTACGATAAGAAGTGAACACTAAAACACCTATACATTAGGCGAAATTAATGGACAGGTCAAATTCTCAGACAAGGGGGATCGCTATAGAGACAGCCTCGAAAGGAACGGTAGAAAGAAAGAACCGCAGACGTAGTGCACGATCGCAATGCACGGAACAGATGATGGAAGAACAGGAGTGTATCTCGCGTACCAGGATATGAAGCGGCAGGCCAACGATACAAAAGTATTGAAATTACCGCAAATCAATAATCCGATTGAAAACTACAGCGGAAGAACGCCGTCACGAACTTTTCAGGTTTGCTATGCTGTCGGAGGATTTTCCTTTGCCATCGCAGCGGAAAACCGTGGAAGATTTTCGTGCGTCCGTTTCCCGGTCTCGTCACAGTGTTTACGCCCCACATTTCTTATAGGTGTTCTGTCGCGGGGCGAGGTCCAAATTTTCGATGTTACGTTCAATTTGATCGAGGTTTGACGGTGTCGTGGGATAATATGCATACGCATTAACCACGCGTGTATTCGGTGCCGTCTAAGCCGAAAGCAATAATTGTTATTATACGAACACGGGTACCGTTACTATGGTAGCGGCGGCGACGGCGTCGTGACGATGGTCCGGCGGACGACGAGGCGCCCCGGCCGGGGCAGCAATCGTCGTGCGGCCGTCGGGAAAACTTTCATCGTCTACGACTGTGTACACACGGAATAACATTATTCACGTTTACGGTACGATACGACAATATTATTATACACACACTGCGCACGTTATCGTTATTATTATTACCTATACGATCGTAATCTCTTCGGACGGCGGCGGCGGCGGCCGATCGGTCCGTCCGATTGTCGCGCGTGCGATTTGTTTGGTTTTGCGGTTTGTGCGCGCGCCCGCGATTGACAAGGACGCGCGTGTCCGCCGCCTCCGATAGCCGATATAATATAATATCTATAATAATATCATATTGTTAATATACACATAGACGTTATTGACAGTCCGAACGTTCTCTCTCTGCGACGCGTATTGCAATATACTTACGTATTATTATTATTATCATCGTTATTATTTTGATGGTTCAATTATAAATTCGTGTCCGCCACAAACGGCGCTGCACGCGCCCGCGAGGATCTGATAACCGCGCGGCCGAGACGGCCGGCTCGCAGCGGGCGACTTTCCGCAGCACGTCGTCGCCGTGTCCGCGTCGCGTCGTCGGCGTCGTCGAGCATCGCTTCAGTTCGGCGACCGAGACGAGATTTTTTTTTTTCCGTCTCCTTCTCCAAAGTCGCCCGCATTTTGGCGGTAAAAAGTCGTCGTTCACTTTTCGCTAGACCGCGTGATTTATCGTCCGAAATACCGGTTACCGCCATCAGCCCGATATCAATGTTCGCGTATTATATTCCTCCGGCCGCAACAAACAAATTAAAAACCGACTATATAAGAAAAAAAAAAAAAAAAATCCCAAGTACAGCGCGCGCGTGTCTCTCGCGATGTTTTCGTGACCGAGTGTGTTTTTATTATTATTATTATTTTTTTTTTATCCTTTTTAATCCGACCGCGCCGCGCCGCGCACACACGACCGGCGTGTGCAGTCTGTGTTTGTGTGCGTGTGTGTGTGTGTGTGTGTATGCGTGTTATTTGTAAGGAGGCCAAACGAGCAACGTATTAATTTGGCGCATTGTTAATAATAATAGAAAAAAAAAAAAAAAACGACGAAAAAACGCACTCCGCGTAGAGTATATTCTATATATATATGTATATAGAGTGTACAATGTACATACTAGGTATAGGTATAGTATATATATATAAAGTGTTGTGGGTGAGAGGCGAGCAGCCCGCAGGTCCTCGGCTTATCAATTTCGATTCATCGGAGTGCCCTCGTAACGTTCGTATTATCCGCGTCTCAATCTTTCAAAACTGCTTTCTATATAGTAAGTATATATAATATTATATATACTGTGTATTATTTGGGTACGTACACACGACGAGAGCGAGCGCCTGCGCATGTGTGCGCTCGCGTATATACATATATATATATAATACAGTGTCTTTATGTTACTAGCATTATCATTATTATCATTATTATCATTATTATTATTATTATTATTATTATTATCATCGTCAAAGTGTGTCGATTCACGGTGTTTATGACGGTTTATTTTTTTTTATTATTTTTTTTTTTTCTAAATCTCTCCCCCCCCCCCGGGCCGCCGCCGCCGGAGCCGCCGTAACGGCCGACTGTCAGGATCGAAAACGACGAACGCCGCACGAAACAATAATACAATATCATAACCGCGGACGTCACGAATACGACGACGACGAGAAATTTTTTTCGCGCGCGTGTTCCGACTCAAACGTCGGCCGGTACGTCGAAATCACGGTATTGTGTGTTCGGCGTGCACAAAACGCGCGGGCCGTGAACACCGTGGTCTTCCATGTTGCCGCGCACACGTGTCGTTTAATGACGAGGGTTATCGGCAATTTTTCGCACCCATTTTTCCCGTATTGTACGGGTCGGCGGTTTTTTATTTGACCAATTCAAAACGTTCGGTTTAGGCGTGAAATCGAACGTGTCTCACGTCAACAATCGGGCACGACCTGCAAAAGCGTATTTAGGCACAGGCCTGGAGCGGCGACGTTTCGGGGGCGGCAAATTTTATCATCTTTTCTTTTTTTTTTTACAAAGCCACAAAAATATTTTTCATTTTTTAAGTAGACCACAATTGTTTATATACATCGCTCAGAACTGAACAGCTACATACAGTTATATACATATATACGTAATACGGGCGTACGGCCAGTATACAGATAACAAATAAACACGCGTCCAATACTGGTACGATTGGTCGTACTGTGGATCAAACCATAATAATGTAATACAGGGAGGGGGGGGGGGGTAAACCATCCCTGTAGCAGACCCTTTTTATAGACTTGTGATCGACCTCTGAGTTTTTCTAGGTAGTCGTGATAGGCCAAAAAAAAAAAAAAAACAGAAAAAACACTAATTTTACTAATGAAAAACAATTCTGAGCGAAATATTGGTTATACATATTATGAAAATCTGTAATATTTACGATTTTCGTCAAAATTTGATACTAAAATTCTTATAAACAAAATTCTACATTACACTCAATGTTTTATTTTTGACCATAAAGTACGACTTGTAATGACTTAACCTGTTAAATTTCCAAGCATTTCTGTTTGGTCTAAACATTTTATCCATTGAGTATCTACCAAATGAAAAATATGTAAAAAAAATTAAAATGCGTATAAATAGAAATGGCTAAAATGTTTTGAAAATGAAACGTGATTGGTGTATAATTTCGTTTTTCGTAGTTATTTATTGCCTTTATTTTATATTCGTGAACTAAAAAAAGTTTATAAAAAACAAAATTTTTTATTTGTTTTTTGAAAAAAATCCAAGAAAAGATGAAAGGAAGTCGCGTTCGACTCGAACCTATGTCGCGATCAACCAGTTGATCGCAATTGACCTGTTGGTCACCCCTGATATAGTATTTAGCTTGATAATGATAGGTGAATTCCATAGTAGATACTATTATAGGCGCTGAAAAGTTCATATATGCAATAGACTCGAATTTTAAATGGATTGTTGATTTTAATTCGGATTCTGAATTTTTGATTGAGAATTTAAGCAGTTTTGTTTTAAACCCAATTACCACAAAAAATTTAAATCCCAAGTAGGTAAAATAATTTTGGTACATCACTCGTCAGAAATACAGCGATTAAATTAATTCTTAACATGACTTAAATGATGTTTAATGTAATCACTGAGACTACGTTTAGTTTGTGAATTTAACTTAAGACATTTACTTAAGTTTGTTTATAAACGACCCTGATTGTCTGACCGTGCAATGCTTTTATCCGCGTATCGAATAATGTGCAGAGTTTGCAGTTTCAAGGTCAGATGCAGTTATACCTAAGGTCAGTTGCATTTTTAAAGTCGATCGTAGTTAAGGTGGGTAGCAATGGATAACGCCGAAGAGCCAAGATCGAAATAGACTAGTCGGGATAGGGGGAATGTATTATCACGATTCTATTTAAAATAATTTTTTAAACTTTCATATTTGTTTACGAAATATTGATATTTTCTTTGTATTTTATATCACTACGTTGTAGGTATAAACAGTAGACTGCGAATTTATAACAATTTTAAATAACATGACGTCCTGTTTTCATTTCGTCTCAATCAACGTGGTTCGGTTTTTGGCAACGTCGGTTTCCGCGTTTTAACAATACCGAGTAAATCGAACTCGACAGTTAGGTTTGACAGTCAGGACCAACATCCTTCGTCAGGTTCTACGACAGCGAGACAGTTTTCCGAGAAGAACGTACCTGATCTCTAATTAAAACCGTTTTAATCTATTTTCTTTTAACATTTATTTTCGATTACATAATATTATTGTTCTGAGAACCAAAATGATAAAATACAAAATATTACATTACGTAACTCGAAAATCCCAAACGTGGCGGTTCCACGCAGCGTACGCCTTTTGAACCCGAAAGGTTTTGTCGACCTCCGGTCTCCGCCGAAGTCTTTTTTTAGACACTCTATCGGATATTTTTCACGTTAGGGCTCCTTCACACGAAGCCACTCGGCAGCGCTACTGAGAAGCTCTGCTGTTGGAAAAACATTAGTTTATATAGATGGTTTCACACACGACCACGGCCACTAATTTGAAGCGCCACAGACGGTGTCAGTGGCTGGCTTCGCCGCAGAACACGGCGTCTAAAAGTCGCGCTTCTTGTAACAGAACGTATTTTTAGATTGGGGGTTTCACACGTGACTGCAATCGCGCGACTATTTTTGCAGCCCGTTGGTAGCGCGTTAGTAGCGCGATTAATCCGTGTTTGATCAAACGATTTCAATTATTATCATTTTAATTTTAGTCTTTATTTGTCAGCCTAAGTGCTGTGTCCTGTCAATGTGATTATCTCTTTTTATATTTTGAAACAATGACATTTGATTGTGCAAACATGAATATTGAAGATTTCATTAGTGAAATAGAAAACTGGTTCACAAATATTGTCTACCGATACACTTTCGCAGCACCACTAACGCGCTTTTAAAAAACATTAGCAGCGCCACTGACGCGCTTCCGAGTAGCGCTGCCGAGTGGCTTCGTATGAAGTCAGCCTTAAACATAATAAATACACAAATTCCCAAACTTGGACAGTAATATTATTGCCGTCTATACGGCGCGTAAAAATGTAAACATTTGTGTATTGAAATGTGTTCTGACAATGGCGGATGCATAATGTATAATGGTGTCATCTATCTCGATCAAATTCAGAAAAATGATCAGGTCACGTTGTACAGAAAAACAACGATTACGTTCTCGTGATAACTGTTTCATAGGGCATGGCGGCTGTGGCGGCACGGGTTTAATGTTGTTACGTATAGATAAATTTTCGACCAAAACGTTGTTGTTGCGATAAGACGGGGTGGGTGGGAAACGGCAGTCAAT